TCCTTGTCCAGATCTATTCCGTCACCAACAATCTTCTATTCATTGAACTTTTTGAAACTTTGCACTTTTAGAGAGAGGTAAGGGATTGACTCTGTGTACACAAATTTGCAGAGGGACAATAGGGTTGAGGCCTATTTCTCATCTCTATATATTATTTATTTAAAAAACATTTTTGCTGTTAACAAGCATGTTATCTCTGGAGACACAAATCCACAGTTTGAGAACTTCAAAACTAAGCATCTCTGATGGTATCTTCTAGACTGAGCACTGAGTCCCATTGGGTAGATAGAAAGATTAACCTAAATAATCTATACAGAAGACCTTGAAACCTCATAAAATTGGGTCCCTAATCCATGAACTATTGATCTCATTTACAAAACTTTTCTTAAACATTACAAGAATATATTGTCTCAGACTATTACCGGGGGGAGGGATAGCTCAGTGGTTTGCACACTGGTCTGCTAAACCCAGGGTTGTGAGTTCAATCCTTGAGGGGGCCATTTAGAGATCTGGGGTAAAAATCTGTCTGGGATTGGTCCTCCCTAGATTATCAGGGTTGGACCTCCCATCCAACCCTGATAATCTATTATTCTATATAGCTGAGCCCATTAGGGGAGTTCTCTGTCTCTATGGGGGTGGGGTCTCTATATGTTTGGGGGGGAGGGATAGCTCAGTGGTTTGAGCATTGGCCTGCTAAACCCAGGGTTGTGAGTTCAATCCTTAAGGGGGCTACTTAGGGATCTGGGGCAAAATCAGTACTTGGTCCTGCTAGTGAAGGTGGGGGCTGGACTTGATGACCTTTTGGGGTCCCTTCCAGCTCTATGAGATAGGTATATCTCCATATATTATTATAATTAGAATTTATAATCCCTATTCCACAATGAGATATCTTTGAGCTATAATGTATCTTAATTAAAACTATCTTTAGATAGGTTTTTTCCTCAAAATCCAATTTAAATAAAAAAAAAATCAGATTTTTTTGATTTTTTAAAAAAAATCATTGATTTTTATCCACCCTGTCTCAAGTGCTTTGAGAGCCCATCTGGGGCCAGTCTGGAAGGGATAGTCATTTCACCATCCAAGTGCTGATACGCAGCAGGGTGCACTTTCAATCAAACTGATTTAAAGCACTGATTTTAATCCTAATTTAAATCAGCAACCTTTACTGGTTGTAATCTTGTTTTGCATTTGTACTTTTTAGTTATTTTCCTAAAGAAAGGTTGATTTCCCTTGGTTGGTATAACCATTAAAACATTGATTTGCAACCAATATAGCCTTAACACTATATTTGCACATACACATTTATTTAAGAAATCATATGCCTCAACATACATTTATTCAGACTCTTTTTACTTTTTTTTGTGGTGAATAAAGTATTTCTTTATTTACTAGATAACTTTATACTCAGAATTGGTTTTAAACTGCATTTGGATTGAAGCTGGAATTCAATTAAAAATGTACAAAACCAGCATTTTAAAATGTTTTTTATTAGTTAAATTATACTACCTTAAGCACTGGATACATAAGAAAAAAAATTAAGTTTATCAAAACATGTTTTGCATTTAAAACTAACTGATTTATTAAACAAAGGAAATATTAACGGTGTAGTTAGTGAATTGACGGGTTGTTTCTGGTCACCATGGGTCAGATTTTCAAATGTATTTAGGTGCCTAAAGATACAGATGGGTGTCTATAGTCTAAATACCTTTGAAAATCTAGCCCTATTTCCTTAAAGTTTTTAGAATTAGTAGATCTCATCCTGGTTTTTATTCATAATCTGAAAGAGGAACAACTTTTTCAACTCCCAATTGGTTTCTCAAATTTGAATGAACTAGACCAAATGAAGAAAATATTCTCTGTGCACCTACTACTTAAATGAAATAAAAAGTAATTAAGTCAAAAGCTTTTTTGCACAACAGAAACTGAAAATACTTACATTTGGAAAAATGTAAGTAACGTGCTCCACTGTAAGACTGAAAATAACACAGATACTTCATGCAATGCATGACGTGACCTATTTATAAAGCTTGCGTTGACCTTCTGTGTACAATTAAAAAAGCAACACCCTTTGATGCCGCTTTTTATTTATTTAAATTATTTTAATATATAATAGTAAATTTAGGCCTTAACATAGATTATCATGATTTCAAATGCAACTTTTAACATTTTACATTTTAAAGGAAAAATGTATTTAGTTTAAATTGAAAAATCCTTTTAAAAAATCTGTAATCGATTTGATATGCATTCTCCCTATATGTTGCTTTCAAAGAGCCACCAGTATTCTGGCAATTGTCCTGTACAGAAAGGGAACAGATGTTCTTTAATTCTACATACAAACTCTGCAAACACCTGTGAAATGGATGCCAACTCGAATGGCTACGATGAACTAGAGTGCTATATCCTGATTGTAAAATGCCTCAGGTGACAGGGATTTACCTCCTCTCTCCATGAGACTGTGAATTCATAACCAGTTTCTGGAGACTGGGGAAATGGATTTGAGAGAGGCCACCCTGAATTCTTTTAGTAACAATTAATGTAGCCAAATATTCCTCACTTCATCTCCTTTCTCTACTGTTCAGATGCTTGTGACATCTGTATCCTTATGTTCATCCTTTTTACAAGACTATGATAAATTTTGTACAAAGTATGCCTGTGAGGTATCATTTGAAAACTCACAATCTGCTGAACATTATTGCCCTGGTAAAATATTTTCCTACATTGCATGTAAAGTTAATACTGTATAATACATGTTCCAAGTCTAGGGAAACAGTTTCAAACCAGTTTTCCAGAGACAAAAGGCTAGCCAGGTGTCAGCATAATCAAATGGACTATCACTTGGTTAAGCAGCCATTCTGTGGCAAGTAGAAGGCTGTGAGTGAAAAATTTACACGTTGGCAAAGAAACAGCTGGAAGTTCCCGTCCCACAGACTCTCTGTCACCTGAACCCCAGCAGAAGATAATTCTCTTCATTGAGAATTGTTACAAAAAAAGGGGAGCAAACTCCTCAGATTATCTCTACTCCCTTTCTCTCTGCCCACAATATCCACAATGCTTGAAAGACAAGGCAAGGAGCATTGGATTGGGGGAGGGTTCCTGGCTGAAATGCATCCAGCCAGTAAGAGTACAAAATCATGTGGTGAGAGAGACATTTTACTTTGAATTAACTTTAGCTATTAGTTGCGTTTTACCTCTTATTTTCTTGTAACCAAATTCTGACTTTTATGCCTCATTACTTGTAAACACTTAAAATCTATCTTTCTGTAGTTAATTAATTTGTTTTATTGTTTTATCTAAGCCAGTGTTTGGATTGAAGTATTTGGGGAATAAGGTTGCCAGGTGCCCAGTTTTCCACTGGAAAGTCCAGTTAGAAAGGGGGCCTGGCAGTGTCTGGTCAGATGTACTGATTGGACACTAAAAGTCCAGTTATTGCGGGCGGGTGGGGGGAGGGGCGGGAGAGATGCACAGGTTATCAACCCATGCTAGCCACTGCTCAGCTGGGGCCACCTCCTACCTGCATCTCGTGGGCAGGCAGGCAGGCAGGCCCGGTATCAGGCTGCAGCTCCAGAACAGAGGGAGTCCAGCTCAGGGGGGCAGGGATGGAGGTGAAGAGGATCCAGCTACAAAGAAGGGGGAGGGTGATGAGCAGTGAGCGATGGGGGGCGGGGCCTCAAGGGAAGAGGCAGAGCAAGGGTGGGGCCTTGGGGGAAGAGGTGAAGCAGGTGGCGGGGCTGGGGGGGGGGGTCTGGTTGTCAGCAATTAGAAAGTTGGCCACCCTATTGGGAAACTCTCTTTGAGATAACAAGATTTGTGCCTATCATTTTCTATTAATAAAATGGTGGACTTTCTATGAGCTTGCACTGTTAAGGAGGGTACTGGGCAATACAAGATGCACATTTCTGGGGACAAGTCTGGGACTGGGAATTTGCTGGTGTTGCTCTGTAATATAATTCAGGAGTGGCTGGCTACAGCACTCAAAGAATATGAGCAATTTACATGCTGGAGGCTGCGTGTGGGCAAACCAGGAGTGGTTGCTCTCACAGTGAAGCAGTGTAAAAGGCATCCCAGGTTGAAGAACTGAGGGGACACATCTGTCCATCACTCCAGATTGTACCATGTGTAATGTCACAATTAACATTAATGTAGCCAAATATTCCTCCCTTCACCTCCTTTCTCTACTGTTCAGATGCTGGATTCCAGCGTAGTAGTTCTTTTGGAGCAGCAATCAGGGTTCCACAGTCCCCACGGAATAATCCCAGTGAATGTAAACCATAGTTTATGTAAAGGCTTCTCTCTCTTCCCAGGTAGTAAACTGCTCCAACCAGATGTGACAATATTTTACTCGACATCCCCCACTCCCTTTCCTTACAACTAACAAACATAAAAATCCCAACTGCAGCCAAAATAGTCATATTAACTTTCCCCTCTTATAGCACTGGTGAAAGGAGCCAGTTTAACAGTCTGGGAAACAAAAGTCACAGAATAGGCACAATACAGGCAATGGCAATTCAAGCTTCCCCTTTCCAGCCCTCCAAGTCCACTACAGGGCTTTGCAACTTCAAACCCTAGGCCTCCATGCTCAGCCAGCCAAAACGGGAACCAAGTCAGCAATTTAGACTGATTCAGTCAAAGCACTTTAATATTTGTTTAAATCCATCCCTATTCAGGACATGCATAAGGTATGGGAGCTTTATGGAACCAGGGTGTTAGTGATGTGGATGCTTATTCATCAGGGACTGGACTCACACTACTAACTCATTTCACCTAATGGTCATCAGACTAACATATCTTTCAGCCACTCCTCAACTGGGCCACATTCCAACAAGTGACATCCAACAGATGGCAAATTCTGTATCCAACTGCTATTCCTTCTGGATCACCCAGTCTCCCCAGTTCTTCCTATTTACATTTAAAAAGTCATCATTACACAAAATGCATTAATTTTCTTCTGAAATAAGAGATCACCCATCCCAGAGGTTCAGAAATAAGAGTTAACCCATTACCTGCTGGCGCCCCTGCCATTACTGTTAAAGCTGCCATTGATTTGGTGCCGATGTAGTGACTTTTGACAAGGAAACGAGCTAATTCCAAGACTGAATCAAATGGCTGGCTTAGGACTTTCTGGGCCCATTCGCACACAAGTCGACAGGCGGCCGACACAACTTCCTCATCAGCACTTTGTAGCTGCCCTGATGGATCTGACCCATCCAACTAATGCAAAGAAAAAGCAAAGCTTAGTTATTAAAAAGCAATGACAACCCTAGAGCAAATGATACAGAAATGGAACTCATTTACTTAATTCAAAAAAAATCTATACATTCTACATCTATATCAGTATTATCCAAGATGAAACACATCAATATTTTCCTACCGCTTGTGCACAAGCAGGGACATTATGTTACGTTACTACTGCAGTTCTGGAAGAATATTGCATGAGTAATTCCAGTACTTTCACTACGCACAATCCAATGCTTCTTGCATGAAAAGCCAAACTAAAATTAGCAAAGCATTTTTAGTGTTTCGCTACTTTTCTTCTGAGCCTACCAATTTAGCATGCCACCTGTTATCTGGAAGATGTTTGCGTCACTGTGACTCCTGCTCCCTTTCTAACAGTGATCTTTTGGGTTTTTTATAGTGAAGGCAAAAATACACAGAGAATTATGAATTTAACAAATAATTTGTAGGTGGTGACACTGTGAAGAGCTGCTAAATTAGATCATCATTTTTATTAATAGCATTCCAATTGTTACTTAAGTTTAAAGCAAATCCAACTAGGCTTGTTTTGGGATATGAGAGTTTTGTAAAAAAAAATCCTATATATTTTTAAACTGCACAGCTCTTTAGCTGCATACTTCTTATGAAATGTTTTTTGTTTCAATAATGTTAAATATTAAAAGAAAATATGGTAAAAGTTAGTTTGCACAAATACATATGTAGATACTGTACCCCATCTCCAGTTTTATGGAAGCCAAGGTTGGGCAGTGTTGGCATATGCACAAAAGCTTTCTTCCTCAGTCCACTGTAGCAATATGTGATCATAAATTAAGGTCTAAAGATTCTCTGCTCCTTGGTTTGTAACAAAATGGCACATGTTTTCAAACACTCTTCTGCTTTCCCATTATGGACTTTATAAGCAAAAGCAAAATGCAGGCCCCACACTTATTGGCATTACATTAAAAAATCCTTTACATTAAGCCAGGAATCAAAACAGTGTAAATTATGGACCCCAGTCCTGCACTGTCATCTGCATGGGTAGAGTCCTGTACCCCCATGGAGTCCAAATGAAGTCAGTGGGGTTCCATGTGAGCACAGCAGTCTGCCTAAATGCTGTAATTTGCAGGCCCTCGGTATGTTTCATGGATTTAAAGGCCAAAGGGGATCATTAGATCATGTAGTTTGACCTCCTGCATCACACAGGCCAAAGAATTTCAACTAGTTACCCCTGTATTGAACCCAAGTACCTGTGTTTGGGTACCCAGTAAGGCATCCAATCTGAATTTGAAGACCTCAAGAGATGGAGAATTCACCACTTCCCTGGGTAGGTGGTCCCAATGGTTAATCACCCTCCTTGTTAAAAATTTGTGTCTTATTTCTAATTTGAATTTGCCTGGTTTTAACTTCCAGCCATTGGTTCTCTTTATGCCTCTCTCTGGTAGATTAACAACTCTTTACAAGATAAGGCCATATTTTATCATCCTGAGTTGATAAGAGAATGATTTGTCTTATTCATAATTTTCTGATTTCCTATTACATGAAACACCGATTCTCTAAACTAGAGGGCATATATAGTTAACTGCTACCAACTAAGCATGGAAGTCTCTCCTTTAACAGATTCACAGATTCCAAGGCCAGAAGGGTCCACTGTGATAATCTAGTCCAGTGTTTTTCAAAGTTCGGGTCACGACCCAGTACTGGCTGGTGGCATGTAAGGCTTTGGCTCGCCTTGCTCAGCACCCAGGGATCCTAGTGGCTCTGATCAGCAGTGCCAACTGGGATGTTAAAAGTCCTGTCAATGGTGCTGCCCAGCTAAGGCAGGCTAGTGCCTACCTGTTCCAACACCGCGCTGTGCCCCGGAAGCAGCCAGCAACAGGTCCGGCTTCTAGGCAGGGAGACCACAGTGGAGCTGCTTGCGCACCGCCGCCTAGGAGCTGGACTCGTTGCTGGCCGCTTCCGGGGCGCAGCCTGGTCCGCGGTGCCAGGACAGGAGGGAAGCCTGCCTCTGCACCATGGCTGCGCCGCTGACCGGGAGCTGCCAGACATAAGTCTGCACCCCAACCCCGCGACCCAATCCCCTGCCCCAGCCCTGAGCCCCCCCCACCCGAAACCCCTTCCTGCACCCCAAACCCTTCATCCCCGACTCCACCCTAGAGCCTGCACCCCCAAGCCCAGAGCCCCAACCCCCTCCCATACCCCAACCCCCTGCCCCAGCCCAGAGCATCCTCCCACACCCTGAACCCCTCATTCCTAGCCCCACCCCGCAGTCCTCACCCCCCACCTCAGCCCTGAGACCCTCCCACACCCCAAACTCCTTGTCCCCAGCTCTGTTGGGTCGCGGGAATCAACAATTTTCTTCAACTGGGTCCCCAGAAAAAAAGTTTGAAAACCACTGATCTAGTCTGACCTGCTGTATAGCACAGGCCCTCAACCTTTCGCAAAATAATTGCTAGAGCAGATCTTGTAGAAAAACATCCAATCTTGATTTTAAAATGGTCAGCGATGGAGAATCCACCATGACCCTTGGTAAATTGTTCCAATGGTTAAATACTCTCACCATTAAAAATGTAAATGCGTGTTCCATGAGTGTTCGGGGGCTGGATAGAATTGTCCTACAGGCAGAGCTGGTCCTTGGGCATGCAATGCATGCCTTTCATAGATAGACAATATGCCAGTACCATCCAGTGTTTCAAGTCGTACAGACCTTAAGAGGACAAGAGTCAATCTGTGGTGACAGAAAACTGTAGATCACCAGTGAGGAATGTGAAATGTCATACCCTCCAGAGATCGATCTCCCATGTGCCTCAACATTTATGAGGCCTTCTCATGATCTCATTTCTAAAGACATGGGCATGCAAATTATAGTTACATATCTGTTGCCTCATGGAGTCCGAATGCTCAATCTTAGATGTGGAAGAATGATTGGCTGACTTTGCTAGCTGGATGCATCAGAGGTCCACCTGATTTGAGGTGATCAGCACATCTTTCATCATATGTAACGATACATAATACACAGACTGGTCCTCAGCTTTAGGGAGACAAAATTCTTCCTGACAGATACAAGTTCTCACTGCCTTCATGTCTCTGCTTACTGAGTGGACTTGTTCAGAGATAATGTGCAAGATTAAAAATAACTTGATGTAGTTTTCAACCAGTTTTTCCAGGAACACCTTACCTTGTTAGAGCTGGAATAGAGGTGTTTCAGTTACACAATCTATACATGCTGCTCCCTTACTTATGTCAGACAAACTCAGAACACCAACACATGTCCTCATGGCCTTTAGGTTTAATACTGCAATTCCTTCCTGGCAGGGCTTGTTCATTGCTTGCTCATGATGATAATGCAGCACAATGTTTCCTCACTGGCTTGAGCAAACTTTTTCATATTATGCTTGACCTGAGTTCTTCACACTGCCTGTTAAGTGATGGGGTGACATAAGGTTGGGCCTATTGGCTTTTTTAATGCCTTTAGCTGTGCATAGCCCTGTCTATAGTAGAGATACCTATTTGTGCTCTGACATCATCCTTTCAGGTATCCCAAGTTACATCTGAGGTCACCAGTTAATTGTGTTATTGCTTTCGTGGATTCTTGCATGCGGAACTCCTTCCTCACTGACATCCAGTTCATTCCTGTCCTCTTTCAAACAATTAACCTTCCTCTCCCCCTCAAAAAAAAGTGCTTTATAGCCTGAGCATTTCTGTGGGATGAGGGGTGGCAATTTTAAACAACAATTTAATATGGCTTAAGAGGCATCAATGGCTTCATCTTAATTTCTCACATTACAGAACGAGGAAGTTAAGATCATAATTCTCCTTACTTGTGTTATTACGGCATAAAAGGTATTGCATGGATCTAATGCAAGTTGTTTTATCTAAGACCCATCTTTTTATTTTTCAAGGTAAATAACTATAGGAACAACTAAACATTTAGAATCAGATAAACTCAAACAGATACAAAATTTCTGAAGACTTGTCCTACATCTTAACAACAGAAGATTAACAAATTTCCAAGTATTCTACAAAGCACTTTGGGGAAATTGTTTTCATTTCTTGATTTAATTTTACTTCTAAATTTAGCTGGTAGTTGAGCTACAACAACAGATGTTCTTCAAGCAAGCGCAGAAGAGATTACTGAAAAGTATTCTAGCAAAGGATATTTTGATTTGCCTCTTGTGCCCAGACGGCGGGCCTTCATATTTGGAAAGACATTTTTCATGATCTTTCCAAAGTCAGCAGCACTTAAAGGATGGTAGCCAAGATTGTCACAATAGCTCCTGAAAGAGAGGGAAAGAAAATGTGAATGAAACTGGTATTAATGCAAAAGGCCGTCCTACACATTAGACTTCCATCAAAGGCTTCAAAACAAAAAATCCTCAGGCCCATCCATATTTAGAACCACATTTAACATTAATGAATCAATCCACAATGAACTGAATACATTAAAAATGCATAAACAGACCTATTAATACAGTCGTTTCTGCCTTGTACTCTTTCAGGTTCAAAGGCAAGTCATGAGGAGATTTAATACAGAGTGACATTATCTGGAGAATGGTTAGGATTTGCTATACAATTTGGTTATTATTTCATCATGTTTCATTACATATATTTCAGACATGGCTTGGATAAAAGAAGAAATCTGACTGGCCAATACATGGGTTAAAATTGCTTGGGTGTAACAAGGTGTGAGGCCACGTATGAATAGTTGAAAAACAGAGGGTGAGAGATTTTGCCTGTATGTCAAGAGAGTGGAAGACCCTGCATGTGAAAACTCCAAAAAGGTTAGAACTTAAATTTAATAAATTCATCTGGGATATTAGCACTAATGGGGAATAGCTAATGAGCCACAGAGCCTGTAGGAGTTTGTCTTCACACAAAGGCCTGGTCTACACTACGAGTTTAGGTTGAATTTAGCAGCGTTAAATCGAATTAAGCCTGGACACGTCCACACGACGAAGCCCTTTTTTCCAACTTAAAGGGCCCTTTAAACCGGTTTCTTTACTCCACCTCCGATGAGGGGATTAGCGCTGAAATCGGCCTTTGCGGGTCGGAATTGGGGTAGTGTGGACGGAATTCGACGGTATTGGCCTCTGGGAGCGATCCCACAGTGCTTCATTGTGACCGCTCTGGACAGCACTCTCAACTGAGATGCACTGACCAGGTAGACAGGAAAAGCCCAGCGAACTTTTGAATTTCATTTCCTGTTTGCCCAGCGTGGAGAGCACAGGTGACCATGCAGAGCTCATCAGCACAGGTAACCATGATGGAGTCCCAAGGTCGCAAAGAGCTCCAGCATAGACCGAACGGGAGGTACGGGATCTGCTCGCCATACGGTGAGACGAATCAGTGCTAGCTGAACTCCGTAGCAGTAAACGAAATGGCAAAATATTAGAAAAAGTCTCAAAGGCCATGAAGGACAGAGGCCATAACAGGGACGCACAACAGTGTCACGTGAAAATTAAGGAGCTAAGGCAAGCTTACCACAAAGCCAGAGAGGCAAATGGAAGGTCCAGGGCAAAGCCGCAGACATGCCGCTTCTACGCGGAGCTGCATGCCATGCTAGGGGGTGCAGCCACCACTACCCTAACCGTGTGCTTTGACTCCGTCAATGGAGAATCACGCAACAGGGAAGCGGGTTTGGGGTACGAGGAGGATGATGATGAAGACAATGAAGATAGCTCACAGCAAGGAAGCGGAGAAACCGGTTTCCCCAACAGCCAGGATATGTTTATCACCCTGGACCTGGAACCAGTAGCCCCCGAACTCACCCAAGGCGTGCTCCCAGACCCTGAGGGCACACAAGGGACCTCTGGTGAGTGTACCTTTGTAAATATTACACATGGTTTAAAAGCAAGCGTGTTTAATGATTAATGATTAATTTGCCCTGGCAATCGCGGCCAGTACAGCTACTGGAAAAGTCTGTTAACGTGTATGGGGATGGAGCGGAAATCCTCCAGGGACATCTCCAGAAAGCTCTCCTTCATGTACTCCCACCCAAAGCCTTTGCAAAAGGTTTCTGGGGAGGGCTGCATTATCCCATCCGCCATGGTAGGACACTTTACCACGGCAGGCCAGTAGCATGTATCTGGAATCACTGCATAACAAAGCATGGCAGCGTATGGTCCCGGTGGTTGCTGGCATGCAGACAACATCCATTCCTTCTCTCTCTTTGTTATCCTCAGGAGATTGATATCATTCATGGTCACCTGGTTGAAATGGGGTGATTTTATTAAGGGGACATTCAGAGGTGCTCGTTCCTGCTCGGCTGAACAGAGATGTTCCCCGCTGTTAGCCACACGGTGGGGGGGATGGGTGAAGTGATCATCCCAGAGAATTG